ATGAAGCCTTGCTGTTGGGGCAGAACTTTGTATTGGGGAGGGAGAAGTTCCCCACCCAACCTCAGGGTGACACTGTGGACTTAGTCAAGAAATTTTTCCTCAAGTATTACCCAAGGTGTCAAGCGGGAGCTGTGTGACTCAGCCCCTCACCTGTACGACCTGGGACCTCCACCAGTAGTTCCTTGTACTTTTCAGCTCCCTCCTAGGATCCTGAGTCCTATCAGTGGCCTAACTTGGGACCCTTGGCAGGTCATAGGTATAGAACCATGCACAGTTCTTGGAGATAGTCTCTCTCCCTTGCTTACAACTGGGCTGTGTCTGGTCCCTGGAGTCAGGAACTGGCCTGGGCTCCCTGAAGAGACACTTTTAGCTGTGGTGAAGGTCTGGGATGGAAAGTGGGTCCCGTGAATTGAGAGTCATGAGGGTGGGGGAACTATCCATGACATTCTGTCCTCTACTCCAGAAATTCGGACATCAAACCGTCTCTTTTTTTTAATACTAGTCAATAAATCAGCATGTCTGTTGAGCTCTGTCCTTTGAGGAGCCAGAGAGAGCGGCAATGAGTGTATATAGGACAGCAGTATGTATACGACTGACAAAGTCTACCTTCCCCCTTCTCCCCATTCACTGCCAAAGCTGCTAGACTGGGCTTCTGCCTCTTCCCCTTGCCTCAGTTTCTCTCACCCAACTTTGAGGGAAGGTGAGACTTCCCTGTGATGCCTGCCAGTAGATTAAGCTTGAGAAGAGATGGGGGAAAGTGATGAAAAGGGCAATGAAGGCTCACTAGTCTTGAGATACTGAAGTAGACACAACAAAGGAGGTACCCTTGGGGCCCAAGGGCTGGGCCAGCCTCTTCATCCTCTCCCTGGCTTTAGCTCTTTTGTTTCTCAGTTCCTTTCAACCACCTCTTGCCTGTCTCAAAACTTTATCTTCCCAACTTCCTCATCTGTCTCTGTCTGTCCTATCTTTATGGAGTAGAAGGTAGTTCTCATCACATTCTGTTCCTCCAGAATTGGTCTGCATTTGGCAATATGCTTGCTGACTGATCCTTCAGGCAGCTTCAAAGGTGGCAGAAGAGCAGAGGCCAAAGACCAGCTGTGGAGGTGGGGGATGGGAGTCCCTGGTTGGAGCTGAGGAGGGAAGGAAAGATTTGTCTCCAGGATAGAGATCCTAATTCCAAGTCATCTACTCTACTGGAGCTCATTAGGAGACATACTTGGGCACTGATGAGGCCTGAGCATCAGGGCTTCTCACCTTTGGCTCAGCTTCTTCTTCCCTCTTGTTCTCTTCCTGATCCAAAAAGTTTGCACTTTAGTGCAGTTTATTGACTAGCAGGTTTGTGCTGGAGGATATGTGTGAGAATCTAGTTGTGCTGCTGCCACCCTTCAGGGTCCGGTGAATACCCAGGATACCCCTCAGCATCCCCCCCCACTGAGGGATAGCCCTGGGAGTCCTGTCCCAGCTCTCTCTTAAGATTATATGCCTCTTCCCCTTTCTCCTTTGCTACAACAAGATGGTAGGAACAACTTTGCATCTGCAATCACAGGCCTTGGAGTCAAATTTGGATGCTGCTACTTCCTAGCTAGGTGACAACTTGGATCGTCAGTTTTCTTATGCAAAACAAGAAAGTTGGATTTCTAAGTTCCCTTCCAGCACAGATGGTTCTATGAGTTTTTATGATTTGTGAATTTTGCTTTGACTTCACCTAATTCTGGAGGGGAAGAAGAAGAGCAAACTTCTAGGTTGATTACATATGTGTGTATATATTTTTTTGCCTCTACTACTAAAAAAATGCTTAAAACACAAGAGACTCATAAGCTCATATTAAATACTGAAAACAACCTATGATCTGCTATACTCTTCAAATAAATGTACTTATGGGATTGCTGAGCAGATATTTTACTCTCCCCCCCCCCCATCTGTGCTATCTATGTAATTCACAAATCTGGATCTCCTGGCTACCCTGCGCTGGCTTAGTCCTTTCAGCTGCAACATCCCCCTGGATATTTCTCCTTGCCATCGTATATCTTCTCCATGCAGTGTTGAAGATGTAGGAAACACCCACCAAGGGGCATCCAGCAATGGCTCGGGAACTACCTTTCCCTTGAACTTACAAAGCATCAATATTTTCAGGATCTCTTTTCAGTCACCTCTGCTCAGGTGACTGACAAAACAGAAGAGACATCCAAGGACTTGAAGTCGTCTCAGGCTAGTCTCTAGTCTCTAGTTTCTAAGGAAACATGAATTATCACTGAGTAGTGCTCATAGTACTGGAGTAACTTGGGGTGGGGGGGGTGAAGAAATCATCTCATTTCACTGGTCCAAAGAAAAGATGACTGAGTACAATGCCACATGCTCAAAGGAGAGAGGGAGGGAATATGTGGAGCTATTCTCAGTACCTCTTAAAGCCCTAATAGGGGATGGCTCCTCCTGGATCAGTTGCCAATACTCTTTGTCACATTGTAGTTATGAAAACCAAGGAACCAATCATTGTTACTGTGAAGCATGTCTCCTTTATCCAGGGGAGGAAGCATTTAACCATCCTCAGGATAGAACATTTGGCCAGCCATTGTGTTCTGGACTCCAATACCTCCTTACATTTACATTTCATTTAACTTGAGTTTCTTATTTGTTATCCTTACTTTTGCTGTAAGAAAGACCTATGTCCTTTTCTGACTATACATTTCCTGTATGATATCCCAGTGATGTAAAGGATTTTATTGAAGTATGACCAGAAAAGAAGGTAGGTTGGTCATATTGCAAGAGCAAAAGGTAGCCAACAGCCAGCCTTCCTGTTCCGTAGGTTTCCACACTATTTCTTCTTTTAAAATGTTAAAAAATTTCTCCCGCTTTCCCCCAACAGGAAAAAAACTACAACGTTTTTGTAAAAATTAAGCATACTCAAGCAAAACACATTTCCAAATGAATGGGGGGGGGAGCATTATGTGCAAAGAAAGCACTATGCTAAGTGCTTGGGATACAAATGGAAAAGTAACAGTTCCAATACTCAAGGAGCTCACATTCTAATGGCTATATTAGTAATGTCTAAAAATGTGTATATTAGTCCCATTACTGTTTTGTCGGGAGGTGGATATAGCACATTTTTCATCATCAGTGCTCTGGAATGCCATTTAACCATTGCACTGAACAGCATCTACTCTATCTCAAGAGATCTTGACATGTTGGGTAGTTTCTCTATAGAGGATTTATAAGAAGACAAGGAAAAAAGTTGCACAGGATGAGATGAAGAATGGTTGAGGACCAGCGTGGTTGGAGGGAGTACCAAATCTCAGAAGGCTGACTCACAAGTCTTAGGACAATTTTAATCCTAAAACTCGGGACCTCTTCTTATAAACATTAACCTAATTATTGACGAAGTAGGTAGAACAAATGTTCCTTCTGCTGGGTGTAGTAGTTAAATTGAGCCTAAGAGAGATCGAGGTTGCACTCCAACCAGTCCTCTAGACCGCTTTCACTGAAAATTATCTGTGCCTTTGAGCCCTAAAGTCTCTAAGATAGGTACAGGTTCTTCTATGTATGTAAGCTCTTTTTGCAGACAATGTTACGGGCGTTCAGAGAGCAAAGGGAACCAAAGGTTAAGCAGACACGTAAGAAGATGACATTAAATAATGTCATTCTAGTGCGCAACGCTCAATACGGACACTGGCTACTGTATAGTCTAACTATCCAAGGTCAAGTGTAAAACGATCTGGGGTCATCGGAAGGAGGATGGGGAAATCCGACTACTGAGTTTCCCTCCTTTTGCTCGTTTTTATCCTTACTTTATTTATGTGTCATGTCTTTCCTCATTTCCGTGAGTGGGGCTGAGGGTGTTGCTTGCGTGCAATGCCCCGTGTCGCACAGCAGCCTGTAGGTGGACAAGGACTGCCATATCTTTCTCGTTCTCCCCAGCCCTGGGCCTTGGCCCTTCCGGCTGACACGGAGTACCCCGAAGAGGGGTGGAGTGTGAAAGGGTCTGCCAGATGGGCCCATTCCCACGTGGCTCCCTCTGTCTTTCCTACCCTCGCCTAGCACTTGGCAGGGGCTGGAGTCTGGGATGGGGTCGAGGTGGGGAGGAGGGGCGGAGGGAGCCGGACCAGGGGCATTTAAAGTGCCTTTGACGTCACACCTTGCCAGGAACTCAGCTGAGTTTTCAGCAGTACATTCCCGTCATCTTCCCTCCCTCCCTCCGGGGCTTCCGCGGACTTAGCCCTTGCTGTTCCGGCTGCTCCGGCGGGAGGGGCAGCGCCACCTAGGGAACAGCCCGCACGGGGGCGTCCCCCCATACGTCATTCATTCTGCATAATTTATCCGGGCGGTGTTTGCTCATTGGCTGCCGGGGCGGGGTTCCTGAGGCATAATTAGTCGACTCGGGACTCTGAGTGGCAGCGGAGGCTGGGGGCTTCATGAATTAGGCATTAGGGGCGGGTCTTGGCTGGCCGGGATCCTAGTGGCGATTGGTTGGGTGGCCTGTTACTCAGCCGTTTCCGGAGCAGCGGCGGTAGCGGTGGCGGAGGAGTGGGTATCGACATTAAACTGAGAAGGGACCTCTGGAGCCCGAGCCCCGGCCAGGAGACGTAACCTCCCCCAACACATCTGGGTCCCGCCACCTCTAGCTCCGGGTCTCCAGTTACGGTTGAGCCGAGGCAGCCTCGAAGCAACCTCCCCGCCTGCCCGGCCTGCGGGGACTAGCCGCTTGGCCTGCGCCTTGGGCCGCTCCAGCAGCGGAACCGCGGGGCCTGTCACAGGCCGCAGCGCCGGGACCAGGTGAGGGGCGGGGCTCTCGGGAAGGGAGAGGGGCCTCCCTCCTCCCTCTTCCCTTTTTCCTTCCTTTCCCCCACTTCCATCGGTTCTCCCGATGGAAAAAAACTTCCACCCCACCTCCCTTTCGTCTCCCTCCGCCCACTCCTCCTGGGGGGAAGATAGGCCACCCTCCTCCATTCCTTCTTCCCTACATCAACCCTGGGGAAAGAGTGCTCTTCCCTCCTCCTCCTCCCCTTCTCTCTCTCTCTTCCTCTCTCACCTCTGTTCCTCCTAGGGAGAGAACCCTCCCTCCTCTCCTTCCTTTCTCCTCATGCGGAGAGAGATCTCTCTCCTCCCCTCCTCTTTCACCTCCCTCCTCCCATCCCTCCTGGGGAGATAGTCCTCCCTCCTTTCCTCCCCCTCTTCCTGTCCCTACTAGAGAATCCTCCCTCCTCCTGTTCTCCTTCCTTACATCATCCCTGGGGAGAGAGTACTCCCTTCCCCAATTCTCCTTCCCATCTGCTGGGGGTAAAGACTCTTCCCTTCACCCTCTTCTGTGGAGAAAAGGTCCTTTCTCTCCCTCTTATAGTAAAGACAGGCTTCTCCATCATTCTCCCTCTAACATTCCCCCGGGGAGAGATCCCTGTATCTTTTCCTGTAAGGAAAGTCAAGGCTTCCCCATTATTTGCCCTCCTTCTGTCCTCCAAGGAGTGCTCCCCCTCCTGCCCTCCGAGGAAAGACTGGTTACCTCATTACTCCCTCTCCCTTCATCTCTCCTCCGATGGGAGAGAGCCCTTTCTTTGCAGTCAATCAAGAAACATTTATTAAGCACCTACTATTTGCCAGACACTGTGCTAAGCGATTTTGTCCTCCAATAAAAGACTGTCAGTATTCTCTCCTTACCATTCCTCTTCTTCCTCCATTTCCTTTCTTCCATTCTTCATGGGAAGACAGTCCTACCTCCTCCCCTTCAAGAAAAGACAATCATTTTTTCTCCTACCCATCCTTCCTTTTCCCTCTTCTGTCATTCTTTAAGTGAAGACAATTCTTCCCAAAGGCATTCTGTCTTCCTTACCAATCATCAAGGTAGTTATCAGAGAAATATCTGGGATCTAGAATTGAGAGGTGACCCCATGACCATATTCCTTGTTTTTGTTCTGTGTAGGCAACCATGTTGCCTACAATCCAGGTGAGGGTGAGGGATGATAACCTGGGAGAGTGGAAAGAATGCTGAATTTACAATCAGACACTTAGGTTTTATGGGAATTAGAGCTAGAGAGACCCTTAGAAATTATCTAGTCCATTTCCAGGATTTGACAGACAAAGTAGCTGAGGACTAGAGAGGTTAAATGCCTTCCCCAAAATCATATAGGTAATAAAGGCCAGAGTCAGTATTTAACCTCAGGTGCCTTAGTTTTCTTGTCTGTAGAATAAAAGGGTCAGACTAAGTGAGAAACTGGTGTGATGTATCAGAAAGAGGGCTGGACTTGGAGTTAGGAAAGACAGGCCCAAATCCTGGTTTTGACACTTAGTGTGTATGTGACTAAATTTAATCTCTGATTCTCAATTTCCTCATCCATAAAATGGAGATAATACTTTCACTCCTTCCCTCACAGTGTATAGTAAGGACCGTCCTTTGTAAATTTTAAAATGTCACATAAATGTTGCCCTCTCATTTGATTATTTCTAAGACTCTAAATCTTGTGAGCCTATTTTTTGGCAAGAATGTATGAAATCATTAAGTTGAATGGATATCAATTTTCCTTTTGTACCTCCCACCCCTTGCCCCAGTGTAACTGGGTAGACATAAATGGCTTTTCAGAGACTCTTCCTAAATTCATCCCCACTCCTTCTGGCTGGTTATTAGGTAGATTTCATATCCAAACAAATACCTCAGCTTCAGAGAAATATAATACTTCCCTTGGGTGCTTTCCCCCTGCCATTTGTTGTTCCTTTCATATCTATATATATCTATATATAGATATATAGATATACATATATATTTATGTACACACCCAAAAAAGGAGGACGGAAGATAAATAATTGAACCTTTGCACTTATTGGATTGTGGTGTTGCTTAATTGTACAGGTCAGAGTGAAGTAATAACAAGTGGGAGTATTGTCTTGGGGCCAAGATCTTGGGTAAATGCAGAAAAAAAGGGAAACAAAGACTAGCAAGGCCTCTTGGTGAGGCCTTGTTCACAAATTTAAGTGATATTTGGTGTGTGTGGTTTAATATGGGGCATACTTTGCACAACTAAGCATTACTCAAGTTGCCTTTTTCATGTCTTTTATGTGTTGCTTTCTGTTGTTTCTATTAAGTAAATGTGTGGCTATAGATTTAGTCTGTCATTTTTCCTCCCCTCCCTTATATGTCATATTTAGGGTACTTCTTAAATGTGTGCTGAGAAGTAATCAGGTGTCTTACCTGTAAAGAATATACAAAGTTCATGACTGGTCATTATCATGCAGATGATTCAAAACATAAAGGCTTTTTCTGTGAGTGTTTAACCTGCTCATCAGTATTAAAGTTACTTCACATTTCCTTAAGAGCCTCAGAGAGCTAGCATACAGCCATATCAAATATAATAATGAAGGATTTCAAAACAAGGGAGACAAGAAGACAAAATAGTCATTGAATCATAGGTTTTATAACTGAAAGGGACCTTAGAGATGCTTTAGATCAACTTGCTTATTTTACAGATGAGGAAAATGAGGTTCAAAGAGATGAAATGGCTTAGCCAAGATCACATAGGTAATCATGACCTAAATGTCATTGTGCTAGGGTAAGTTGTGGTCTGAGCTCTGGGGTCTCCTCACAGTCTCCTTACTAGTAAGTAGCAGAATTGGCATTGGAACCCAAGTCTTCTCCCTCTAGACCCAATATTCTATTCCATTATAATGTTACCTCTTCAGATATACAGCTACTCAGCACTGCTGTTTACAGATTAACTACCTGGTAGCAGGGCCAAGTCAGAAGTGCCTTGCCATTTATTGGAAATTCGAAGTATAACAGTTGATAAGGGCAGAGATGCTCTGACCAAAGAGCCTATTCTCAGCTAACATTTGATTAGAATACATTCTTGTTCTTTACTTGTCATGTTTGATCTCTTTAGGTCCTCAAACAGGCCAATGATATTACCCCCATTTTGCAAATGAGAAAGTAGAGGCTCATAGAAGAAAATTATTTACCCCAAGTCACATAATTGCCAAGAAATGGAACCGGTCATAGAAAAAACCCAGGACTTAACTCCTCATCCAGTGCTCTTTCTATTGTACCAATTCTGGCCTGCTTAACTTAAATGTGTCTGACTGAAAATATTGACTGAGACTGAGTCCCTGCTGGGAAACAGAAGTGACATAATGACATTCTTAGGAATTATAGTATTTCAGAGCTGTATGGGACCCTAGAGCATTTTGTCTAGCTGTGTCATATTATGGACGTGGGGACTGAAGTGCAGAGGATGGAGATGATTTACCCAAGATGACGCTATTGGCTAGTGGCCTTGTGCATTTTTCACTGCATTAGGCTACTTTCTCTTTTGCACATTGAAACACACTTTGATTCAATGTTGAGGGTTGACAGTAAAAGTGTAAATAGGATCTAGTTTGGGTGACTTTCAGGTTGCCAAAGATCATTTAAATAATAGTTTATCATAATACCTTAGTAGAGTTATTCTTCAGAATAAACAGGTATTTGGCTAATAGGAAGGACTTTTACTTTATTCAGAAGATTCTGCAGATTCATTTAAGTCATGACCTAAATGTCACTGTGCCAGGGTCAGTTGTGGTCTGAGTGCTGAGAGTTAGCACACTCTTGCAGGCACAGTTTCTTTTCTAACATCATTTCTCTTTCCTTTCTTGCACAAGTCATTTCTGTGTTGGCTTGTTTCCCCAGCTGTGAAATATGGAACATCAGGTTGTCTTCCAAAAGCTTTTATGCAGTATCCTTTTGTTCATGGCACTTCACAAACCAGTCAACTAATAAAGGCCCAACTCAATTCAACAGGCATTTATTACATAGCGAATACTCTGTGTAAGGTAAGATACTATAGTGGCCACTGAGGGAGATATGGAAGTACTCTTCTTACCCTCAAGGACTTTACAGGAGACTTAGGGAGACAAAATTCTAACTGGGATGGAGAGATAAAATAAGTTGATATGTGATAGTATGAAAATTTAGATAAGAGAAATAACAGTTTAATATAGCAAAATATATGTTTCAAGGCAGTAATAAAATCGTTAACAGCTGATATTTGGATAGTGTTTTGAAGTTTTCAAAGTGCTTTACATTTACCATTTCATTTGACGCTCCAAACAGCCCAGTTGGGTACTACAGGTGGTATTTTCCCGTCTTACAGTTGAGGGAATTGAAGCTCAGAAAATTAAAGTAAAACATGCCGCTAGTAAGTGTCAAGGGCAGGATTTGACCTGACCCCAAGGTTCATGCTCTTTCCACTGTGGAATGAACTGCCTAATATCTAGGACAGACAACTGGGGAGAGAGTGCCACAGGCTAGAATGATATTGGAAGCTTCACGAAGGAAGAAGGAATTTGAACAGGCTCATAAAGGATGGGTAGAGTTTAGATAGAGTCACAAGAGGGATGGATAGTGATCTCCAGGTCCCTTCTGTCTCTGTGATTAAATATGGTTATGAGAACAGATGTATCAACATCACTGGATGACTCCTTTCATTGAAAAAGGCACATTGTGCTTGTTTGTGCCAAAGAACTTAACCGTTTTTAGTTTAGTTTTAGTCTGTATTTGAAAACCCTGATTGCAGCTCTTAGACCATTCCTCAGCTCCTAGAAGGAGTCGGCAGATTCTAAGGGACCTTCAGGGTCCCCAGACAGCAGCACCTGGATGTCGTGAGAACTAGAGAACAAAATTAACCAGCTCTTTTCGTGTCTTTTAAAGTAATAGTGAAAACAAGAAATGTGGTTACGTACTTGTTGGTAGAAACCAGAGCTTCGTATCATGAACTTTGGTCTGGAAGGCCATCCAGTGTGATTGTTTTGATGGC